CAGCGCCCCTCTCAGGACGTGGAGAAAAAACAGAACCCCACGGAACATGTGGGGGACAAAAGAGGAGGGGAAGGGGGAGGTGTGTGTGTGTGTGTGAGGAGACGCGGGTGCGACGCGGCAGGGAAGAAAACCAGAACCCCACGAAGCATGTGGGGAAATACTGAAACATGTCGCACGACAAAAAGCAAAAAGCAACAAAATGACAAGATCATGTCACCTGACTATGTATAAGCTATTTCTGAATCCTCCTCCTGCTGTGCTCCACATGCCTTCGTGCCCCCTGCCCGCGCCGCTGCCCGGGACGGCCCCTGGCGGCGGAGGCTGGGCTCCGCAGAGGGGCCTCTGTGCCGCCGCCTTGCCTGGCCAGGGCCATCCCGGGCCCCCTGTGACGGTGTGGAGGCCCTGGGGCGGTGCAGAGACCCAGACCCCCTCGAGTCCTGACAAAATCATGACGGGAGGTTCTTCGCTAGTTTCGGCCTCCGGGGGCCCTCACTGGCCCTCGGGACCGTCAAGAACGACTCAGGATGAAAAGCCGGTCCCGGGGAATGGGTCCGGACCTCTGGGGGTCGCGTCATGAAAAGATCATGACGTTGGGGGTCTGGGGACCCTCCCGGCCTCGACCAGGAGGGCGTAATTATGCACCCCATTCCAGGGCTTGTGCTGGCCCTGGCCATGCACGGGTCGGCAACCCGCAGAGGGGGGTATGGGGGAGGGGGGAAGGCTTCTTAGAAGCAGCCTTGCTTCTCAGGAGGCGCGGGCCTTACCCAGAAATGCAAGGCCCGGACCGTCTGAGAAGCAGCCTCTTTCTAAGAAGCCTTCCCCCCTCTCCCTACCACCTTTGTGTGCGCCGCCAACATGGCGGTGATGTACAGGTACCTTCTCTGCGAAATCAGTGTTTCCTAATCAGCTTTTGGGCCAGTCTGCCTTCTCTCGTAGAAGAGAAGGCGCGAACATATTTTTTCGGAGGGCCGCGCAGACTTCTTGGATCGGCACTGGACCCCCCCTCTCTGGCGCGCGGAGCGCGCCAGGGACGTCGCCACTGCGGTCCAGCGCCGATCCAAGACATCAGTGCGTACCTCCGAACATCGTTCGTAGATGCCTTTTTTTGTCCCTCTGTCCTGTCTGCCAGGAGATCAACGACCAGATCTCATGGCCCTCTTCTTCTTCTTTCTTCTTCTTCTTTCTTCTTCTTCTTCTTCTTCTTCTTGTTCTTCTTCTTCTTCTTCTTTCAGCACGTCCCCCGGCTCCCACTCGCCCGCCCTCCTTTTCCCATGCCCTTGACGCCATTATTATTATTATTATTATAATTGTTATTATTTATTATTCTTATTATTATTATTTTGTTGTTTTTTTGTTGTTGTTGTTTTTTGTCTCTGCTTCTTCTTCTTCTTCGTCTTCGTCTTCTTCTTCGTTTAAAACGTGAACCTCCGGTGGACTGGTGCTGGCTTCATCGCATCGCATCGCCGGCGGCGCGAGATCTGTCTGAACTAGCACGAGGTACCTCCACTGCTCGTTGCAAGCATCTGGACGCCTGTACTGTTTAACGCTGTGGCCGAAAAGGTCTGGTTCCAGCAGGGCAAAGTCATGAGTGGCGCGATCGTCGGGACGCGTTCGGCCACTGCCTCGGCGGCGGCTCGGACTGGCCACGCAGGGCGCCGTCCCCTCCCCTTCCTCCTCCTCCCTCCTCCTCCTCACTCCTCCTCCTCCTCCTCCTTCCTCCTCCTCCCTCCTCCTCCTCCTCCTCCTCCTCCTCCTCCTCCTCCTCCTCCTCCTCCTCCTCCTCCTCCTCCTCCTCCTCCCGCAGGGGGCTCTGCAGCAGCACTCGAAACGTCGCGGCGGCCGGCGCTCTCGCCCCCCGAGCGGCTCGCAGCCTGCCTCCGCCGTCGGGAGCGGACCTCGGAGGTCTCGGGACGCCCGTTCTGGGCGTCCCCGCGGGGCCCAGCGAGAGCCCCCCACGGGCCGAGGACGGCCGAGAGCGCTCCAGTTTTTTATTTAGTGTTTTTTTTGGTTTTTGTTTCGTGTGTTGTGTTTGTTTTGTTGTTTTTGTTTAGTGTTGTGTTTTTTTTTTGTTTCTTTGTTTCGCGGGGCGTCCGTGCGCGGCGCGCGCCCGATCCCAGGAGATCAAGGACCACGGCAACGGCTGGTTCGCGTACTCCCCCGCGCTGCACCGGCTGCGCGAGGGCGGCACCTTCACGAAGCTGCTGGACCTGCTGGACGAGAGGCCGCTGACTCCCGTGGAGGCCGCTCTGCTGGCGCAGCTGCTGCTCCGCGGCGAGCACGATCCGCCCTTCCCGCACGAGCCCGTCGCCTTCTGCCAGGCTCGGTCGGGCCCATCCCGATCCGATCGGCCCATCCTCCTCCTCCTCGACCTCCTCGTCCTCTTCTCCTCCTCCTCCTCCGCCTCCTCCTCCTACTCTTATTCACTGCGCTCCGCCTGCCAGCGCCCACGGCCACGAGGACCAACGCACGCCAGCGCCCCGGTCCGAGCTTTTTGTTTTTTTGGTTTCCAACCGGCGTGTTTTCCTCGATCTCGGCCCCCTTGGTGCCGCCATCGAGCCCCGGGGCCGTCGAACGTGGACCCAGAAGGAAGAATCCCCCCCCCCCCCCGGGAAGCGGAGTGGTCGGGACCTTCCTAGGGCCGCGGACTGCAAGGACAGCTCGGCGGATGTGAGGGTTCTGACCTGATCTCGGCACCGTTTAACCGATCCCCATCCCCATCCCCTTCGAGACCCCCACCAAATTACCACCCCAGTTGGGGATACACCCCTCGAACCCCGAAGAGAACGACCTGTATCCCCATCTAGGGGTGTAAATCGGCCAGTGGGGCCTAGGCCACGCCGCTGGGGATGGGGATCGGTTAAACGATACTCATACTCATGATCCAAGTCGATATCGATTTCGGCCGGCCGGACCCGATTCCCGAGCCCCTGCAAGCGCCGGTGTGGGGGCCGATACAGCGCACGTTCCGCTCCGACCCTGTTTGCCTTCATTTTTTCCGGCTCTAGCGGCCTCCTCTCTCTCTCCTCCCTCCTCCCTCCTCCCTCCTCCCTCCTCCCTCCCAGCCGTTCCGGATCGTTTCGGGCCCGTTCCAGCCCTGGGCCGGGTCTTCCAGAGCGCCGCCTGGCGTTTCTAGAAGGCACCTTTGCGAGGGACGCCGTGGGGCGAGAGATCCCGCGTAGGTCTGGCAGTTCGAACTGGCCTGGCGAATGCACTGGTGGACGATGCAGAAGAGATGATGGGGCAATTTTCCACCAGCGCTACCACAGGTAGGACGGGCGAGAAAGGAGGATGGGGAGGTCCTCTTCCTCCTCCTCCTCCACCTCCTCCTCCTCCTCTTCGTCCTCCTCTCCTCCTCCCTCTTCTACTTCTGGTAGTGGTGGTGGAACATCGGTTCATCAAGCGACCCTCTGCCAGTTCTTCCTACTCTGGCCAAGGTCACCCTCGTCCTCGTGGAAGGCCCGACCTCCGCTTTCTCTGGCCCCTGGCCGTCTGCCCGCGGGAGCAAACGAGTACCCCTGCGGGCGGCACCCCGCGGACTGGTGGCCGCAGGAGCTGCCCGCAGGAGGCCGCCCTGGCCGCGCTGGGGGCCGTGTCTGACGTGATGGGCCCCAGTTGTGATTCGTGGCTCCTCTCGCTCTCCGCCTGTGTTCCCCAGGGCCCCTGGCCGATCCTGGCTACGCATCCCAGCGCAGCGCCGAGGAAACGGCTGCCGAATCTCTGCGGTTCTGCACAGAAGACGCATGCGCCAGACCGCCGCCGCCGCCCGCCTCTCGGAGCCGCATCTGCGGCCAGACGTTGGGCCACAGCTTGGCCAAGCTGCTGGGCGAGAGCGGAGGAGGAGAGGGCGGAGGGGGAGCAGGAGCACGGCAGTTGCCGCTGGCTGCGCAGCTCATGCTCGATCGGAGGGCGTCTCGTTCCTACGAGCGCCCTGCGCGCGCAGGGGGGGAGGCGCGCCGAAGGCCGGACTGCCCTCTGCCCTTCGCCGTGCCGGCGCTGGCAGGCCGACGTCGGCCGGCTCCCCCGCTGCGCTCCCCGCCCCCGCCGCGCCCCTGCGGCGCTGGCGTCGGGAAGCTGCTCCAGCCGCCCAGAGTGATCTTCAGGACGTGTGTTGCATGGCCCGACCGGTTGTTTGCCCCGTCCGGTTCCGCCGACAGCGCGCGGCCTGCGTCGGCCCGCACGCCGATGCCCACGGCGCTCCGAAGGGCCAGGGTGCGCAAGCACACGTTGGTGCTGACACACGTTCGGAGGATCCTCGGACCGCGCACGTCCGCACCCGCCGACGCGGAATCGTGCCCCAGGGAGCTCGAGGGCCCCTCGAGGAGCGGCGCTCGCGTGGATGTCCCAGCCGCCCGTCGTCGAAGAATTGGCGGCATATAGATAGACGACTTTCGGAGCTCCGCGCCTGATTTCTTGGGTCGGCACTGGAGCCCCCTTCCGGCGCCTCCAGCGCCGCCCCCGGCGCGTTCCGCGCGCTGGTGAGGGGGTCCAGCGCCTTTTCTGCCGTATTTTGTCCCCTTGTTCGCCTCAGCCATGAGATCAAGGACCAGATTTCATGGCCCCCTCTTCTTCCAGCATGCCCCCTGGGTCCCACCCGCCCGCTCTCCTCTTCCCAGATCACCGACGTCGTTCGTTCCTGACGCCGTGTGCCCCCGATGGTCTCGACGCATTCCTCCGGAGTGGTGCTTCATCCTGCGCCGTTTTTTGACGGTCCCGGATGGCCTGGTAGTGGCCCCCACGGGCCGAACCCCCAGAACCCTTCCGCCGTCTCTTCTTCTACTTTCGGGGCGTAACACTGCATAAACACAAGCTCTCGGCGGTCCACGCGGATCTCTTGGATCTGCGCGGGGCCCCCGGGGCGGCGCCTTCGGCGCCGCCCCTGGCGCGCTCCGCGCGCCACGGAGGGGGGAGCAGCGCAGATCCAGGAGGTCCGCGCGGATCGTCGAAGGCTCATGTTTATGCCGTGTTTTTTTGTTGTTTCAGTTTTTTTTTTTTTTTTTTTTTTTTTTGTTATTTTTTTGTTTTTGTTTTGTTTTTTCGTAAAACAGCATTTTTTTGTTCCCTACCTAGGCTCTGCCTAGAAGGATTCTTACCCTCTGGCCTTAAAGGGCCGGGCAGTGGGCCTCGCCCTGGGCGGTTCCCCCATTATCCGCCCCGCGGTTCCCCCAGTTGCGCCCCCTGGGCTCACCCAACTTAGCTTAGCTTAGCTTAGCTGAGCTTAGCTTAGCTTATCGCATCTTAGCTTAGCTTAGCTTAGCTTAGCTTAGCTTTGCCTAGCCTAGCTTAGCTTAGCTTAGCTTAGCTTAGCTTATTTAACTTAGCTTAGTTTAGCTTAGCTTAGCTTAGCTTACCTCATCTTAGCTTAGCTTAGCATAGCTTAGCTCAGCTTAGCTTAGCTTAGTTTAGCTTAGTTCAGCTTAGCTTAGTTTAGCTTAGCTCAGCTTAGCTTCGCCTAGCCTAGCTTAGCTTAGCTTACCTTAGCTTAGTTTAGCTTAGCATGGCTTAGCTTACCTTAGCTTAGCTTAGCTTAGCACAGCGCAGCATAGTGCAGCGCAGCATTAGCATAGCATAGCATAGCATAGCATATCATAGCATAGCACATCATATCATAGCATCGCATATCATAACTCAGCGTAGCATAGCATAGCATAGCATATCATAGCGTAGCATAGCGAAGCATAGCATAGCATAGCATACATCCCCAGGCCGAAAGTTTTTCCTCTTGGATTACAAAGATGACAACATCAGTGGATCCAATTGGATCTCTTTTCGGGTGTGGGAGAGTTTCGTGGATCCTATTTCTGTGTTGCGCGGATCCAATTTCCTGCGTGTGAAAAAACACGATGGATCCATTTATTTCCCGGGAGTAAATATATAATAATAATTAACATCCGGGACCCATGGGAAATTGAATCCGCGGAGCACCGCAAGTGAAGCATCATGCTATCCACGGAACTGTGGATCTGCAGACAAATGCTATGATTCTACGGGGGAGGGGGGGTCTTCCCAGGATGAAGAGGGGAAGGATGAGGGAAGAGGCAAGAGGTGGGAGGAGAACAGAGGGGACGCAGGGGGGGAGAGAGGAGGAATAATCAGGGAAGGGACGGGGGGAGGAGGAAGGAAAAGGAGAAGGAGGATGAGGGAGGAAGGAGAGAGGAGGGAGGCAGACGGACGAAGGAGGAAGGAGGAGGAGGGAGGAGGCGGGAGGAGGAGGGGTAAGTGGGAGGAGGAGGAGGAGGAGAGGAAGGGATGAGGGAAGGCGATGACACACACAAGCAAAGTGCCCAAGTCGGAAGCTCGAGCGCCACAGCGGGCCCGGCCACCTCCCTTCACCTCTCCCATAACATGTGGTTGCTCTCACCTGAACGGCGCGTCGCTTCCGACATGTGGGGCTCAAGAGGAAAATCTTTCGGCTTGCGAAAGTAGCATAGCATAGCATAGCATAGCATAGCATAGCATAGCATAACATGGCATGGCATAGCATGGCATAGCATGGCATAGCATGGCATAGCATGGCATATCATAGCATAGCATAGCAGCATTGTTTAGCATAGCGAAGCGCAGCATAGCATAGCATAACATAGCATAACACATCATATCATATCATCGCATATCATAGCATAACATAGCGCAGTATATCATAGCATAACATAGCATTTCATAACACAGCATAGCGCAACATCACATATCATATCATAGCCTATCATAGCATAGCACAGCGCAGCATAACATAGCTTATCATAGCATAGCGCAGCATAACATAGCATAGCGTAGATGTATATGTTGCTTTCCTACTTCAACTCCTAGGTCGGGTCGCGCTGGGATAATTTCTGCTGTCTCCCCCTTCAATATTTTTGTTTTTGTCTGTCTTCCTCCCGCAAACCATCACCGCCAAACGAAGTTGATACATGCTCCGGTTTGTCTCCGTCGTCAGAGGAGACGCCGAGAGCGTCTGAGACGTGTCGAGAGGTACGTAAAACAGGTCATGGTTGCGCCGCCTCCGCTTCGCCGAGGGCGGGCCAGGCATCCGTGCCCACCGGTCCCCTGGCACCCCGGGGGGCAGGGGTTCCAGCAGCCCTGCGCCTGGAGGCGTCCCGGGATAGGCTGGCGTCCCTGGGAATTTGGTCGGCTGCATGCTGCATGCCCTTCGGCCAGGGGGCGACGACGGGGGCGAAAAAGCCAGGGAAGGGCAAAACATGTATCCAATGTTACGTCGGGCACGTCCCTCTACAGGAGGAGTATTCCCGAATAGTCCAAAAATAGTCCGGGGACGATGTTTCGACAATTTGTGACTATTTTTGGGGATTTTTGGGGTACTCCTGATTTTTCGTGCAAAGTCCGCCTGTATGGGGGACAGGCCCGACCAAAATCCAATGCCGCCGATGGTCCGTGCTTTCGGCGCAGCTCCCCGGCGAATTATTACGTGCAGTCCCCGCCACTGGCCCTCTCTGGGGCCTGCGCAGGCGGCGGCAAAGCACCTGCAGGAGCCGGCCGGCGCGCGAGTGGGCGGGCGCGGCGGGAGGGGCGAGGAGGAGGAGGAGGAGGAGGAGGAGGAGGAGGAGGAGGAGGAGGAGGAGGAGGACGAGAAGGAGGCGAAGGAGCTTCTTGGCATCGCTCGGGCGTGTGCCTTTTTTCCCTGCGAGGGCCATCGGGGAGCAGATCGTAGCATTCTGTGACAAGATGTGCGCACGAGGTCGAGGAACATGCACGGGGAGTGGACGTCCGAGCGATGGCGAGGCTTTCGTACAGGCCAGGCGCTGAAATAAGGACCGCACGTTGGGCTCGGGAGGGGC